CCAAGAGGAGTAATTGTTTCTTTTCTTGACTTAGTGAAAAAAATTTTTTCATAATAAAATATAAAGTGAGAATAGTAAACTTGTAGTTAAAATTGAAAGTAATTACTTTAAAGCCCCAAGGAAAGAACAAATACAATGAAAATGCAATACAAAAATTTAAAACATCATTGATGTATACTCAATCATTATGTGAAAATATGCTGTGGAATATAACTTTCCCTTTTGATTATTTTCACCCAGCAGATTACTAGTAATTGCAAAGTGTAGAACACGTATCTCTGGAAATTAGATCTGGTTACCACTTGTTTAACCAAGTGATCAAAATTAGCATCACTAATTGTGGGACAATCTGTCATTTCATGCTGCCTACTGTGGTATAATTTCAGGGATACAGCAAGGTAGAGGCAGTTTGTCACCAAAAATGTTATACTTGGATGGATGCTTTATATCATAGAAGTTAAACTTCGAATCTACAGAAACTTACCTTTCAAAAACTTGGAACAAGTTAACTGATCAAAGTATAACAAACTGAAAGTCACAACTGGATTTTTTTTTGTTTTCATGATATATCTTTTATATTTACTCTTTAACATTTCTCATTACTTTATAATTCTGTAGAGGTCATACACATCTTTTATTTGGTTTAATTTCAGGTACTTATTATATGGTATCTTTAAATTTTTTCATCTTCTATTTATGGTTAAAATAGAGGTATAAGAGACATTTCAATAAAACAATGGGAAATCTGAATACTGACTGGATAATCAATGATATGAGGGCATTATTGTTATTTCCTTATATATAATAATTGCAGTGTTACTGGGAGAATATCTTCATTCCTATGCCATGCTTTGAAAGGTCTGTAGAGGTGAATTGTGATCATTACAATATCTTTTGAAGAGATTCAACAAAGACTACATGTATTGATGCAGATCTACTCATATATACCTATATATTTGCCAGGTTGGCAAAGTGTCAACAATTTTGGATATAGATGGTAACATGTGGATGTCCTGTATTATCCCTTCAAATTTCTCTAAAATTTGAAAATGTCATAATAAAAAAATTGAGTAAAACTAATATTAAAATCACATTAATTCCTTAACTTTTTAATTGGAAATCAAGATTTTGTATACTACCAAATATATAAATTTTAAATACTACATGTTTCAGCTGTAGACCTGTACTCATTGACTCTAAGTAGTAAAAGAGTAAGTTAGAGAACCAGAACCATATGCAGAATAGATGCTTCTCAACAGTTGATTTGATGACAGAAAGCAAAGAGGTGCATCAAAATTAGATGTGGGCAGTCACAAGGTCGGCTCAATGTTCTGCTAAATTTTCCTCAGTGTTGATTTCATCCACCACAACTAGTGATCTTCATAAATAGTTAACTCTCTTTTTTTCAGTCTTTAAAGTTTTATTTCACCAACTTCGCGTCAAATTTCCGCAATTGCGTTCTGGTTAATTTAGTATACTTGCTTGACTTCCCAAAATGATAGTACTGAAATATTTGTGGGGTAGGGAGAAAAGACCACTTGAAGCATCACTGCATTTACTCATCTTCCACACAGCCACAGAGTTGGGCATCTGATTGTTCGATGAAACGAAGCTTTGACAGCACACAGGAGGGCATACGGGATCTGATTGTTCAATGAAATGAAGCTTTGACAGCATGCAGGAGGGCATACGGGATCTGATTGTTCAATGAAATGAAGCTTTGACAGCATGCAGGAGGGCATACGGGATCTGATTGTTCAATGAAATGAAGCTTTGACAGCACGCAGGAGGGCATACGGGATCTGATTGTTCAATGAAATGAAGCTTTGATAGCACGCAGGAGGGCATACAGGAAAACCAGGCTTAGACAGTCTTGCGTTTGTCAAAATCAGACCAGAGAAAATCTATTCCACATATATAGAAAAGGTATCATATTCATCTTTTTATATTACTGCAATATTTTTCTTTTCATTGTCACATCATGGAGTTTCTCAAATCCTTTATTTCATGTCCTGTGATTGCACAGGTAGGCGGCAAATGCCAAGGAGTGGATGAGCTCAGTTCAACCATTGCTAACAATTTCTCAATTTCTGAGAGACAAGTTCTTCAAGTCTAGTTTCTTAGCACCCATAAATACAGGGACATCTTTATTTTCTTATACCCTATTTTATAAAGTTCAGTTTTGACTTCTTTCATTCTTTCAACATCAACAGAGTCCACAGCAAACACAATGCCATCTGTGCATCTTGCATATGGCTTCTACAGTGTTCCTCATTTCCCCTGACCACCTACATCTCAGGAGTGGAAAGTGACTCTTTTAGAATTTTCCAAGGTTACCTTAATTTTTCAGTGTTAAATCCTTTGGTGGGTATGGTATTTACAAATTTATTGAATAGCAGCCTGTATAAAACAGTTCTTCCAGCACAGTCCAAACACGAAATAACAATGTGGAAGGACTGAAATGAACGGCAGGATGGACAGGATGGTAATTTAGTCAGTTAGTCCATTCCCCTATTTCCAGCTGCAAAAAAGTGTTCCAAAATGAAATGCTTTCTTTTTTGTGCTTTAGAACTCTTCTTCCTAGGTGGTCCAGCTATAAGACTCCCGTTTTGGGTCTGGGTCTAAATGAGGCAACATTAGCAGGCTTTTCTACACGAGGCAAGGGTGGGGGTAGCACGCCACATCCTTTCAGCTTCTCTCTCAAGCAGCTCTCATAAACAGGTAACTTCCTCTCCCTAATCTGGATGACTTTCACTGTTTCCAGTTCTTAGTACCTGCTCAAGAACTATGAAAACAGAGATGCCAATAAAAAGCATTCAGACATCTAAAACTTATTTAAACCCGTAGTACCTATCTACTCTTATTCTCGCTCTCCTGATTTATTGCTCATCCCATGTTTTTATGGCCTTTATAATTATACATATTATACTCCTAATCATCTTTACCAATCCACTCTCTGGTGGTCTTTTCAAACCTTAGAGATAAGTCCACCTTCTCCCCTAGCTCTGATTAACCATTTCAGTCCTCCTTGATGAAATTTACCTCCTCCAAAAATAGTATACAGAATTCAGCATGAAGGTCTCTGTACCTTTTTCACTAAGACTTCTCCAAGGAGAGGTACGATTA